GTGGTGAACAACTGGGTGTACATGATGTCTACCGAACTACCTTGGTCGACCAGTATGTGGCGTACGTCAAAATTTGCCATACGAGCTCTCACGAGTAGTGGGATGCTCAAATTCGGAGCCCCGCCCTACAATTATTCCCTGTAGAAGGCGAATGGGATGAGAGCCTCCTTGGAATTTATCGAGCGTGGCATCCATATATGAGTTGGCTTTGATGAGTTGGTCAAATCTCCTCTTCACCGACCCAACTATGTGCCTGTTGAATCCTCCGTCGGAGATGATCATGGCTGCGAGGAAGGATTCCCAAAGACTATAGGAGGAGAAGTACATGGGGACGTTCTCCATATTTGGATAATAGAAATCTTCTGGCTGTGATATGCTCATGGCGACTGGAATGGCGTCGAGATCGAGGGATTTCTTCCCTTCCTCGACATTTTTGGTTTCTGGTGCTTTGTCACAGACACTTTCCTTCTTTTTATACTGCTTGACGTGCCCGTCTCTGATCAATATTTTGATCGCATCCTTGAGATGAATATCCTCCGTGTTATATCCGCGACTCTTTTGGAACCTGCAATATTTGCTCCGCGACTCTTTTGGAACCTGCAATATTTGCTCTTGTCGGTTCCCGACTTGGACGATGTTTGTCGGGGGAAGCGCACCCCAACTTGCTTAAATTTAGAATTGGCGTATTCAGAAAGAATACACTCCCTTGAGGTTGTCAGAGGGGTGTAGTTGTGGAAACGACCGATTGGCCCCTTGTAGTCTTTGGAATCACGGGACTTGTCCTCCCATTTCTTCTCTCCCCGACGGGATGTAGAGGGCTCGTCGTTCTTCGAGGACTTGACACTCTCTTTGTGCCTTGATTCTCCAGTGCTGTTGGCCGCCTCCTTCTTCTCGTACTGTATGTATGCATGAGCCTTGAGGAGGAGGGATTTAAGCATGGCCGGTGTCTCAATGCCTATAACTTTGGCAAAGTCACTACAGGGACGGAGCCCGCGCTCGAGGAGATAATTCTTCATGTTATCCGGCATTGAGACTTAGACTGCTTCCTTGTTGAAGTGTTCAATATATGCCCGCAGAGACTCGTCCCTGACTTGTATGATTGCTTCGAGTGAAGCCTCCGATTTTGGGTGTCGACGAGAGGTGATGAAATGCCTTGAAAATATCCTCCTGAGCTGCTTCTATGAGGTGATGAATTCGTCGGAGAGGCTCTTGTATCACGACATCGCCCCCTTCCTGAGAGTGGTTGGGAAGAGTCTACATTTGATGGCTATCCTAACCCCTCTATAGTCGAGGAGAGCGTCGATGTTCTCGATATGCTCGTTAGATTCTGTTGTTCTGTCGTAGGTTCCCAATGGAGGTAGCTTCTCCAGTCCGACAAGGAGTGGAGCCTCAGTAATCTCCCTTGATAGCGGGCCATGGGGCTCGTCATCTTCACTATCTGCAGGAGATAGAGAGGGGGAGTGATAGTTTCTTCCCCGTCAGTCGTCACGGTCTCGTTGAGGGAGGGGCTCCTCCGTTTCTGCTTTGGCTCGGGTAAAGGTAGCCGAGCGCGGTTAATTTGCCTGTTGTCTTTCATCTTCTTGAATGAAGGGGAGTCTTGATCTCTGGCAGGAGGTGTACAATTGTGTTTCTTGAAGAAATAAACGTCGCGCTTCTCCTTTCTGGGTGGTGGGTCACGCCTGGGTGGTGATATACTAGGGGAGTTTCGTCGTCGGGTTCTCTAAGGAGGAGATCTTGATCGCCTGTCTTTCCAGGCCCCTATCCTTTGATTCTGTTGTATGATGAGGGTGTTGGTCTGATTGATAGCAGCGAGCAGTGCCGCCGTGATCGTTGAGAGGGATGGGAATTTATTGCATGATCTCTGGCAATTCCTCGGTGGAATTCTTGGGGTGTCCCTTGTCCAAGAATTAGTCATCACTGTGTCAGGCGTCCGTTGAATCTGGAGATGCAGTATGTCCGTCCCGGAAACCCAGGTTATCCTCGAGGTGAGGATGTTCCTGACTTCTGTCGGTTTTGTGAGCAGGGGAAAAATAATCTTTTCGAGAAGATGAAAATCATCATGGTTAGCAATGATTGGTGAGAGGAATTTTGAAAAAGTTGCTTTGATCTTAAGTTTCGAGGAAAGAAAGACGGGGAGAGCAGTTTTCCACAAACGACGCCACTGATCTTACCGGTTGATCAAAACCTGAAAAGTGGCCTAAAGATTATCTGTAGTCGGGTTGTGATGTCGAGGAGAAAAAAAGAGTTGTACCTGCAAGGCACTCCGATAATCAAGTAAGAGTGGGAACAATGAGATACAAGCAAAGTATTAGGTGGTGAATAATGAATATTCGATACCTGGCCCTCACAGGTGTGAGGGTATATATAACGCCCCTGGTGCATGGCCTTTAGTTCCTGTTTTCGCGCCTGAATATGCGAGTCTATGAAATTAGATAACTGCCAGAACTTGGTCAAACCGAGCAGATGTACCCGTAACTAGCCGTTGGTCCTGAGGAGGGGGTCAGTTACGGGCATCTCTCTGGTCGGTTCCTGGTGGCCTACACGATGTTGATGTCAGGCAGGCTGAGAGGATACTCGTCGGTCATCCTAGGACAGTGCTGGCTTGAGAGGCCAAATGATTGATATTGCCCGACGGATAACGGGCGATTCGGGTTACCGGCGTGCAGGCCGTACCAAAGGAAAGGTCTAAACTGGGCTCATTCAAGCTGTCGGGTCAGTCCAGAACACATACCTTATTACTAATTTTCGAGGGTAAGATATATTGTATTTTAAAATAAAGGCTAGAATACTAATGTTCTGTTTGATAAGACACACTTATGAACTTATAACTTATAGTTTATAACCTCATATGACAATTTAGATCTATTTAGTAACAATCTTTTTATCACGGTCTTACAACTTATTTTTGAGACGCTATTTCAAATAGCGTTTTAGTTTATATCTTATAGCTTATCATTTTTTATTCCACTTTTATCTTTATTGTTTTAACAAAAATCCACTTTTATCTTTTATAATGTATTTTAATTTAAAATAAAATAATTATGTATTAAATGTCTTTTATATCATTTTATATTTATAAGTTAGTTGAACCGTTAATTTTACTAAACATTTCAATTAACTTATCAGCTGTCAGTCTCAATCATCAGCTATAAGTTACAAGCTATCACTCATCAACCATCAGCCATAAGCTATAAGCTATAAGCTAACTTATCAGTCAACCACTATTTTTACTAAATAATTCAATAGAGGAGAAGTGAGTGATTTTTATCTAAGGGAGAAGAGACGGGGAAGAGAGAGAGAATTTTAATTACATATATGTTTGGTTTAAAATATGAAAGATGATGAGATGAGAGATATTTTATTTATAAATATGTTTGGCTCATAAAGGGAGATGATGTATTTTAAAACTAATTTACATTTTATCCTTATAATTTTAACATAAAACTCATGATATTTACCGTTTATATTTCAAATACAAATGCATTAACAAAATATAAGTATTCAATCAGAGAACACCATGAAAGATTTTATAAAAACATAACGATTATAATATATAATTTTACAAAATTATTGAATACAATAAAATCTAACAAAAGTTATTATAAACAAAAATATAACGATAATTAAAAAGTAATACTAAAATATAAAATAAAATAATTTAAATACATATAATGATAATAAGTTGAAGATATAAAACTACAAGAAATATAAAAGAAAGATAAAATACATTCAAAATAAAATTTGTAACATTTTAATAAGTTAAATTTATATTTAAATAAATAAATAAGGATGAATATATAAATATAATTATAATTAAAATAAAACATCTTCTCTTCCGTTCAAATCCCTCCAAATTCAAACAAGTAAAAAGTGATTCAAGTGAGATTTTGACTCCCTCAATCTACTTCTCCTTCCTCTTTTAAAATTTAAATCAAACAACTTAAGTATTAAGTATGCACTCCCCCTCCCATTTACCCATAACCAAAGACACCCTAACTATTAAGGGTCTTTTGGAGAGTTTGGAGGATAGAGAGAGGAAGACTTTGAAAAAAAAGAAGGATTGAATGAAAATAATATAAGAATTTTGGTTGGAAAGGATTTCAATGATTTGTTTTTATTCATAACACTAAAAATCTTTTAATTGGGGGAATTCAAAATTTGTATTGAAGTAGAGTTTTAGAGGGTTTACATAATTTACATAAATTTTTCAAATATTTTTTATGTTATTATAGTATTTTGAAAATTAAAAATACAGTAATGATAAACACTATTATCTCAATCTATACAAAATCATATTTTCAAAAAATATCAAATATATTTCTATATATTTTTAAAAATTCGTTTTCGAAAGTCTTCCATTTCACTTTCATCCAAATTCCCAAACAAACAAAGCCTATCCAAATTCCCAAACAAACAAAGCCTAACTAAATCAATTGACAATTTTTTACATCAACCACGCGTATTTATTTAATCACTATCTTAATAATATAAAATTTCAATATGTAAATATTTTTTTCTTCCATATTTAGATCAATAATATATTTTTTTATATTTATATTAATTAACGATTTAATTAAATTTTAATTGATGATATATAATTTTATTTTATTTTGATCAATAACATATTTTTTTATATTTAAATCAATAGTTATTCAATTATTATTTTAATTATATGAATATGATATTTTTATAATTTTAGATCAATAATATATTTTTTTCTCTTATACAAATATTATTATTTTTTAGCATCATTTATAAAATATTTTTGTTATAGTTTTATTCTTTACCTTTGCAACAAATCACGGAATGATATGTGATATAAGATTTAATTTAAATAAAAATTTAAGATTTAAGAAATATTACGATTTTTTAGACCTTATTAATAAAACCTTAAGATTTAAGAAGTATTACGATTTTTTAGACCTTATTAATAAAACCTTGTTTCACTTCTACTCTAACTTTTGCAGCTTTCGCTCTTTGAAATTCTTCTCCTTCCGCCAATGTACCCTAACCATTTCCCCGGCGGCCACCGCCCTCCAGGCTGTCCTCCTCCATCAACCGTCCCAAACCCTAACGCGTTCTTCCAAGCAGCTCACAACTTCCATCCCCCACCAAACCCTTCCTGGCCTTTCCCGTTTCAAAACTACCCCTCTTTCCCTCCTCCGCCGCAAAACCCCTATGCCTTCCCTCCTCCCCCGACAAACCCTCCCGGCTGTGATCCTCCATCGCAAAACCATCCCGCTTTTACTCCACGGCCGCTAAACCCCTCTGGCCCCGCTCCCCCACCGCAAAACCTGCCTGTTTCCGCTCCCCGGCCGCAAAACCAGCATGCCTCTGCTCCTCTTCAGCAAAATCCCAAACAGGCTATCGCCATGGCTGAAAATGCTTCCTCCAAGGCCTGCCGTGATATTCTCGCTGCCGGAGACTCTGTTTCGGCATGGAAAGTGTCTCAGAAAGCTCTCTTGACACTGCAAGTTGATTCTTTGAATTCTCTGGGCATTAAAATGCAGCAGGTTCCCACACTTCACCGCCTTATGCTCACTGAAGGAAAGGTATATATACTTAACAACGTTTCTTTTTTGTTTTACTTCAATGATGCATTTGATCAATAGGGGTTGGTTTTCAATGTTTTGTTTTGGTTGCTATGTATAGGTCAATGCTTTTATCCATTGCTTTGTTGGGGTTCGGAGGATCACTTCTTTGTATGATTTGGAAGTGGCACTTTGCAATAACGAGGGTGTTGGTAGCTTTGAAGAGCTTGGATTAGGGCCTTTGTTGCGCCACCCTTTAGTTATTCATTATTTCTCCATTCGTTCCGATGTGACTCAAGTGTTTAAGATAACTAGTGAGGAGATAATTCAGTTTCTAAGCAAATTTTTAGACGCTTCTAAAGCTAAAGCAGTCATCGGAATCGAAGAGTTTCTCGAGTTTATTGCCACAAAGCGATCGGTTGAGCGCAGGGAATTGCTTGGGATTCGAATTCAGAACTTGGGGTATGTTCTCTCCTATTCATCTTACATATTTCGTGGGAAAGGTTGTGTAGTGATCTATAGTGTTAGAAAGAGGCAGATACATAGATTGAAAATGTTAATGTGGTAATGATTGAATGAACTCTTATTACGGGATAGAGATTTGAATTAATGCTAAATCAGTTAATGAGCTAAAAGCTTTTGATGAATTCTATCCTTAGACAATACTTTATTTGGCAGATCAAAACTATTATCAATAGTATGGATGCTGATAAAGATGCCGACTAAGGGAGTGAAATTATTATTATGTTATTACACTTTTACCGTCAAGTTTGACTTCAAAACTTTAAATAATTTTTTGGGATTTTGAATTTATTGCACATATGGTTGTTTGATTTATAACTATGACTATTGAGAGACAGTTCAGAGGAGTAACTTATTTCGGTATGCTCTTCAATTTTTTGAAACACGATTGCGAGATATTTACTAAATAAGAAATATTATTGTTTGTGCATGAGCAGCATTGCTTCTTTTTTGGCCTTTTCCTTATATTTGTTTGCCTTGGGTATTTGTACAGAATCACATTTGTATTTATGTTCTGTTCAATTTTTGCCTGAAGCAATTTTTGCCAGAAGAGAATTATTTGATCACTAAATATCGTGTTTCCTGACATCTCTTGTGCTAGTCAACCGGTAATTAGGTATGCATAGGATACTGAGATTTTATAAACTTCACAATAAAGTTCCACTTACCCAGCCTCCAGGGTGTAAAATGGAAGAGGATGATCTTTTTAAGAAAATGATGAATAGGAAAATAGATAACTAAATAGGCAGCACTATGAGGGGCTACAAGCTCCCTACTGGTACTAGCTGAATCACTAATTTTATACCTCATTTCCCTATCATTAGCTCACCCGTTTGGGCTACAATCTTTCTACCAGTACCAACTAAATCACTCTTTTTATACCCCTTTTACCTATCTTTAGCTCACCCATTATCTTCGCTCTTTGAACTCACATTTTACTATAACAATAATCCATATTCTCAGTCATCCAAACATTCCGATTCTGTTATATCTAATTTACAATAATCATATTCTTGCTTGTTGCTATTCTCACTCTTGTTGTCTCATGCTTCTTCTTTCTATTATATAATTGGGTAATGGGAGGTCTATAACCCCTTATCAAATGTAATTTTCACACATATTTTATATGTTTTGGTTATGAAAACAAAATGCCTATAGGCAGTTCACTGCGAGTATAGTAAATCTATGACAGTATAATTATATTAACACACGCACCATGACACCATCAATCTCCATGTCCTCCCAAACACTTAGATGAGTGAAATAATTGCTTTTTTCTTGTCAGGTATTTGATATCACTTAAGTTTGATCTGTTATGTGCAAGTTCAACATTTGGACTTGAATAGGCCATCTTATCCTAATTACTGATTTTGTGATCACAGAATGCACATAACTGCCATAAGAGAAGCTAAAAAAGCAGAGGAATCTACACTAGAGAAATGCTTGAAGACATTAAGATCAAAAAGTGACAAGTTTAGGAATTGTCTTATTTCTTCTTCTCAGAAAAAGCAGTTAGATGAACGTTTTAGCACCATTGCTCAGCGTGTAGAGTCATTTTCTTCTGTTGAAAAATCTTTTCGCGGCAAGCATGTTAGATTCACATCGTCAAGCTCAGAAGATGAAGTTGGTGATTATTCTTCAGATAACGATCAGAATGATAATATTATTATGAGCAGTTGGTCAAATCCTTCATCAAAATTTGGCAAAAGTTCAGAACGAATGAGTAGCTGTCCCTACCCATCTGCAACCGAAGAGATGGCACGCCTTGTGGTGAAGGGTGATAAGCAGGGAGACTCCCTTTCTAATAGCAGCCTTAGAAAGGGATTTAGTGAGCCCCCTAGTAAAAAAAGAAAAACTGAAAATGTTACTTCTTCCAAATCTCCACCTTTTAAGTTTTTTAACAAGTATAAAAAAGTTGATCCAACCCCAATAGTAAATGTTAACACAACCAAGGTATCAAAAAATATGGACAAATATCTTTCAATCACTGATGATTCTTTGCAGATGTTTGTCACAACCTGGAAGGAAGCGTGTTTGGAGCACAAGGTTGCTGAGGTAGGGATTTAATTTCCACTAAAATGAGATGATAATGATGTATTGATTGCAATACTTTTCCTTCCTCCTCTCTAAAAATAGGTTCATATTGTTGGTCTGTTATGAAATCACACTATGTAATTATCACAATGTACATTTTGAAGATTTGATTGTACATTTTGAAGATTTGATTTCACAATGTATATGTAGGTTTTGGAGAGGATGCTTCAATTCTATGGAGTAAAACCTCGGGAAAAGAACAAAATCCGAATGTTGTTAATGTCATACCCCTTAGTTGGGTTATTAAATACTGCTGTAAGCTTCTTTTTGTTGACTTCATTATTTTTCCTTCACACTTGTAAATTTATGGTACATTAGTTGAATTGATATTGTAATTAACCGCTATATTTGAAACCTAACTTCTTCCTCATTTACTATAAGTAGATGTTAATAGTTGACTTGTTTTTGTCTGCAAAATTTTCATTTGGCTTGAAGTTCCCTCCATAATACAATGGGATAATATTATCATGTTTCATGCTGAGCTAATGCTACTTTCACACATACAGTCAGGGAAGGTTGCTATTAAAGGAAAATTTTACAACACATCTATAAGACCTACACAAGAAAATATGTGTTTATAAATGTGGGTTTTAAGTTGGATAAATGATTACACAAGAAAAGATAGGTTTATTAATACAATGGTTGGAGTGAAGATTGCGATAACCCCCGTTGTAGAAAAGCCGTGTCTTGCCTTAGGTGGTTTTTGGATATGTAGAGTTTGTGGCGACAACTGTAACCAAGTCGGAGTTGGTGTAGGATAACACACTCTGTATTATAACATGATTTGCCATTGAATATAGAAAGTTCAGATTCAGTTTATCTCCCTTCTGCTTTGATGCTCTCTAATACGGGTAAGCAATATAAGGAGGGTGGACCAGAGGGAGGACAATTTAATAGTTAGACTTATAAGTAGTTGGAGACCAATGAAAATTATAGGACAAACCATTTGGGGAGATTTGGCGGTAAATGGTCTATATCTTTATAGACCAAATGTCAAGTTTTTTATACTGTCGACTGATTCATGTATATAGCTGACCTCACTTAGTGGGAAAAGACTTGATGGTCGTTGGTGCTAGAACTATATGAGATCAAATTTAGCACTTTTAGTGCTCGTTGTATTGTTTTTGGGTGCTTTCTTAAATATTGGCACTTTCTTTTTTCCTTATGGTTAAAGAGGACATTTTGTTTGGTCATAGCCTTTTTTTACTATAGTTTTGCTACTAGTTATTGGGTCGCTAATATGTGCCTGTAAGAAAGAAGAGTAGAGAAGAGAAGTGTTTTCATTTCTGTAACTGAATTCTGTTATGCTTTTTCTGTTAGTTACAAAAGGCTCCTTGATGCTTTATATACAGCATCAAGGGTAACCTGCTATTACAGGTTAAGCCAAGCTGATACTTACAGCTGCCAGTCAAATATATAAACTAAAATAGGGACTTAGCTACTTACACACCAGAGAGGAATTAGAGTGAACAAACCCTGGAGGCTGCTCCATGTAAACTTCTTCATCAAGGAGTCCATTAAGAAAGGCATTATTTATCTCCAACTGCTGAATAGACCACCTGTGGGTAATGGCAATAGTGAGGATGATCATGATAATAATAGGCTTCACAACAGGTGAAAAGGACCATGCCTCTGATGAAAACCTTTGGCTACCAACCTGACCTTGTATCTGTTGATGGTGCCATCAGGATTTTCCTTGAGTCTAAAGACCCACTTGCAGCCAATAACAATCTGGTTGGGGGGTAAGGGCACAAGAGACCATGTGACATTTTTCTGTAAGGCATCAAATTCATCTTGCATAGCTGCCTTCCAATGCAAATCAGCCAGAGCCTATTTAACCGATTTAGGCTCAGAGGAAGTAAGAAGCACCCTAGGATCCAGTCTAGGCTGAGAGAATCCATATTTGGCCCTAGTAATCATAGGATGAGAATTCTGAGGGATAACGGGCACATGAATAGCATTAGGAGGCACATGTGGTTCAGAATCAGTGTCTGAAGATGAGTTGAATGAAGGGTCAGCCTGACTAGAGAAGGATGAGAAGGTCCCTGAGGAGTTGCTGGCAGTAGTAGGTGAAGGAGCTGCAGAACTACCAGCTAGTGATGAATCCTCAGGGCTAGAAAAGACAGAGGTGGGGGCATGAACAGGTGAGGTAGTAGGATAGGCAGGTTGGAGATCATTTGAAGAACTAGGGATAAGAGATTGTGAAGAGGTGATGTGAGGAGTAAGAGCACTCAAAAGGGGGCTAGAGTAATGAGGTGCCAATGATGTACTGTGGCTGGAAACAACACTAGGTCTAGAAGAAAATAAATCTAGATATGGAAATCTAGACTCATTAAATAGAACATCCTTTGAGATGTATAACTTGCCATTAGGAGCCAAACATCTATATCCTTTGTGAGGCGTGGAATATCCAAGAAAGAGACATTCCTGAGATTTGAAGTTAAGTTTCTGAGAAAGATAAGGTCTCAAGAGAGGAAAACAGGCACATCTAAAAACTTTAAGAAACTTGTAATCAGGCTGCTGATGGAATAAAAGAGTGTAAGGAGCCTCAAAATTAATGGAAGCAGATGGCAGTCTGTTAATAAGATATACAACAGTGGAAAATGCATAGTCCCAATATGTTAAGGGAAGGGAAGCCTGACTAAGCAAGGTAAACCCTAAATCCACTATGTGCCTGGACTTTCTTTCAATGACACCATTCTGGTGGTGTGTGTGTGGACAGATAAGACGATGGTTAATACCCACCTCAGTTAGATATTTGGTAAATGGCCTGAATTCACCCCCCCCAGTCAGATCGAACAACTTTAATACGTGACTCATGTTGCAGTTCAACCAATGCTTTAAACTTTTGAAAAACAGAAATGGTTTCATATTTAGCTTTAAGAAGATAGATCCAAGTAAACTTGGAATAAGCATCCATAAAGGACATATAATACAAGAAACCAGATGCAAAGGCCTTAGGTGAAGGCCCCCATAGGTCAGTATAAACAAGTTCAAGAGGTTTTGTGTAAACTGTGTGTGAAGTAGGAGCATGTAATCTGTGGGATTTACCCATACAGCAAGCAGAACAGAACATATCACAAATTTTATTACTGAACTGAACATTACAATGTTGCAAAACAAGCTTGAGAGCATGATTGTTAGGGTGTCCTAACCTAAGATGCCACATGTAAGGCAAGCTATTAGAAAGAGAAATAGTATTAGCACTAGGTGCAACATTATTGGAGGAAAAACTAGTAGAATACAACAAAGACTTAGCAGATTGTGACGCATCAATAGAGGGAAACTCATAGAGTCCATCAGCTCCTACATGGCCTTCAAGAAGAGTGGCATCAGACACCTGGCATTTAACAAGACACTTGTCAGTTGAGAATAAAAAGTACACACGGTTATCTTTAGAAAACTGACTGACACTAAGCAGGTTTTTATTGATAGCAGGAACATGGAGTAAGTTCTTGAGAGTGAGGTGTGTGGTAGGGTGAAAAGGTGAAGGAAAGGAGCTTGAACCAGCAGAGTGAATAGTCAAACCTTGTCCATTATCAATGTAAATTTGATCATGGCCTTCAAAGGGAGTCACTTGTTGTAAGTTCTTTGCATCACTGGTGACATGGTATGAGGTGCCAGAATCAGGAAACCAGAAACCAAATGGAGATGGTGAAGCATTTGCCACAAAGGTACTTGGAGGTTGTGTAATGGCAGGAGGATAAGAAGGCACAACAGGAGGCCTGAACCACACATAAGGAGAGACTTGAGGTGGTGCTTGAGTGCAATAGGCATGAGCACCCTACCATTGAGGTTGCACATAGTTTGCACCAGAAGGTTGGAACTGATGGTTAAACCTGTGCCAGCACTGTAGGGCAGAATGACCAGGTTTGGAGCAAACTTGGCACTGGATGTTAGAGTTGGAGAATCTGCCACCTTTGCCACGGCCAAACCTACCACTACGATGACCTTTTCCACCTCTAAAAGGCTGATAATCCTGCACTTGGTTAGAGTGACCAGTGTGAGTAGAGGAAGAATCAGTAACAGGTGCTGGAGACTCATCTGTTGTTGGTGACTGAGGCACAACATGAGTTAGGTTGAGAGAAACCAAATCTGGAATTGGCTGCTTCTTGAACTTGTTCAAGCGCAACTCATGAGCCAAGAGCAGAATTTCAACCTCATCAATGTCCATAACTCCAAATTTGCTTTCAACTACAGACACAATCGGAGCAAATTCAGCAGGCAAGCCCTCAAGAATCATATCAATGTGATGTGACACAAGAATTGGATCACCAATGGATGCAAGCGCTGGTACAGATCTTCAGCAGATAGTCTTGAACAGAAAGAGTGTCAAGTGTAAGAACACGCAAATTCAACACGCAGATGGCGTGCCCTAGCACAGGTTTGTTTCTGAAAATAGCTGAAAAGACGATCCCACAGTTCATGAGAGTGGTTACAGCCAAGCACGCGTGAGAGAATCTCACTCGAAAGTGTAGATTGAAGCCATGACAACAACAATTGGTCCTTCTGAATCCAGCTAGAATACGCTGGATTAACAGAATCGGAACGGCGAGCGGCGTCGTCAACAAATTTCAACGGATCACGAGCGCATACCACCAAATCTGTGAGATCATGAGCATTGATGTAAAATTCTACATGTTGACGCCAGAGATGGAAGTTCTTTTCATCCAACTTCTGCGCAATCTTGAGCGAGAAGTGCAATCGGCGAGAATCATCCACCATCGGCGACGGAACCGCCGTTGGTTCAGGCGAAACCCTAGCGGAAAACGGAGGCGATGGCGAAGCGATCGTAGCCATGGATCGACTCTGCAATCTGATACCACGTAAGAAAGAAGAGTAGAGAAGAAAAGTGTTTCATTTCTGTAACTGAATTTTGTTATGCTTTTTCTGTTAGTTACAAAAGGCTCCTTGATGCTTTATATACAGCATCAAGGGTAGCCTGCTATTACAGGTTAAGCTAAGCTGATACTTACAGCTGATAGTCAAATATATTCAATAGTGCCCTTAGGGCATTTGTTAAGGAGTACAAAAATAGAAGCTTTTGTGTTGAGACAATTTTTTAAGTTTCAAAAAACTGAATACACAATTGTTAGGAAGTGTCATAAGCATGGTAGTCAAAATCGCGATCCTACTCGTAGGATCGTACGATTTTACAATCTTGCAACTCCCTACCGTGCCGGAAAATAACGAGAATCGGTTTTTGGTAGGAACAGACAGAATCGTCGTTTTTGGAAATAACGAGAATCGGTTTTTGGAAATAACCAGAAACGGTTTTTGGAAAGAACTATAGTTTCTGTTCAAAGCCCCCGGAATTCGGGTTCATGGCCCCGTTTCAGAAAAACTCTCAACGTTTCTTTTCTTATTGAAATTTGAAACTTATACTCTTGACATCTAAACCGTTTAAGCCTAATAAAAAGGAGTAATTAATACCCGCCCATCCAATAATGAATGATTTATACAACTTCCCAAAATAACTCATGATTAGTGTAACTTTCCAAAATACAGATTCACTCCAATTCTCTCACACTAAACATCTCTCTCACGTTAAATACAACAACTCACTCAATATTCCATTCTCTATCTTCTCTATCTTCTCTCTCACGTTAAAAATAACTTTTCAATGAATATCTTCTGAAAATTTTCAGTTTTTTAAAGTAATTTTAGTGTTATTTGAATTTTTTTCTACTAAATTATGTTGCTGTCATATGCATATTATTAATTTATATGCAATATATATATATATATATATATATATATTTATATATATATATATATATATATATATATATATATATATATATATATATATATATATATATATATATATATATATATATATATATATATTTATATTTGGTAGGATCTTACGATCCCCGATTCACGATCTTGTTACTCCTACCCGATCTTGTGTAGGATCTCAAGTTTGACTACCTTGGTCATAAGGGCACATCTTGGCACTGCCATAATTATTTCCTGTATAAATATTTCATGTTTCACTCTTCTGCCTGGTTGTATGACCTTATGGAACTGTTGTAGTTGCTAAAGGTTTTTTTCTTTCTTTCCAAAGCTGTATGATATCATCCACTTAAAATCTTTCATTCTAAAATGCTGCAGGTTTCTGCTATCAAATCTGGAATGTGGAATAGCATCTATGATACCTTCCAAGTCTTCAACCATAGCGAACTAACTAACTCACCGACCAAAAGTTCTGAATACGAGACCTTAGATATTGAACCCAGCCTTGAAAATGTACCTCTGGTAGCAAAGGATAGTGCAGAGAATACAAAATGTGAGTCTATTTGCCATTGAATCAAGCATTGACTGACATATTTTTATCTACTAATTTTGGCTGTTTTGTTATAGTTTCCTTTTGAAAGAATTTCCACTAGGCAGGCTATGAAAATGAATTGCATTATAACATAAGAGTTTTATGGGCCTACTCCTTTTATTTTTATATTGGAGTGATATTTATTTTCTTCTGTTTTTAATTACCCAGGGCACAAGCATACAATATTATGTGTTACTTTACTTCTCAAAATTTCCTTATCCTATGCAATCTTGTCCTGACAGTGGAACTTTTAACAGGCATTTCTGCTGAAGATGTCGTCAGAAAAATTGGAATGTATTTTGACCTTGATAATGAAGTATATAAAAATAGTGACTCACAGCTGAAGTTTAAAATAATGTTTTTGAGAAAGTTTTGCAACTGTGAAAGTTGGTTGGCTGAGCAGTTTGGTGTGAAGAACTTCAACTCTCTTGGTCATGGGGATCTCTTATCATTTCTTGAGAAGAGCGTTGACCAGTTGCCTCGAGAGCTGCTCAAATTATTAGGCGGTGGCATGTGCGAGAATTCCTCTTTCAAGGCCTGCATGTCCTCAAATGAGTTGGTTGCTCTACTCTCTCAGGCTATTAGTAGTTTGTGGGAGAATGAAACAGTAACCAAGCAGATTATTTCCATGCTGCTTATGAGGCAGTTTCCTTCAATTGGTTTTGAATTTGTGGAAAGTGGGTCTCTTGAGGATCTTCTGGATACCGTTCGAGAGCATAAATCTAACGTGACTTCGAATTGCGTTGTATTTTCTGCAACCATGTTTGAAGAGCACTATCACATAGACTCCTCAAGTGACGGAGATAACAATTGGTCCGGAATCACCACTGATAGTTCTGAAATGGCCCATAAAACAAAAAGCTCTGAAACTATTACAGCAAAAAATGCAATTGAAGTATTACTTAAGTCACCAATGTTGTCTGACTTGAGCAAGTGGTCTCATTGGGATCTTATGTTTGCACCCTCCCTTGGCTCGCTAGTATCATGGTTGTTGAATGACGTAAATACCGAAGAATTATTGTGTTTGGTTACCAGAGATGGAAAGGTGATACGGATAGATCACTCTGCAACCTTGAAATCTTTCCTTGAGGCTGCAGTTCAAGGATCCTCTTTCCAAACTGCAGTGAGTTTACTGTCTTTGATCTCACTATTTGGAGGGAAAAGAAAAGTTCCACTGTCACTTCTAAAACGCGACTCTTGCAGTGCATTTGAAGTCCTGTTCAGAAACTTTGTGGAAGATATTGAAGTTGGTGATGATAGAAATGCTTTCCAGTCTGGGGAAGCTTTATGTAAAACAAAAATATTAGCTGAAGTTTCAACTACTAAAATGAGTGGTGAGTTTAGCAAGCACTTACTTAAAGTGAATAAGGCAGTATCACTTATGTCCAAGTTTGTCCTTGATTGTCTTGGTTATCTACCCGCCGAATTTCATAGCTTTGCTGCTGACATGTTGCTCTCTGGGATGCGATCTGTTTTCAAGGATGCTGCTGCAGCTATTTTATGTGAATGCAGCAACATGGAGCAGCATCTCATGCTTCATGAAATAGGGTTGTCTCTGGGTATTACTGAGTGGATTAATGATTACAATGCATTTATTTTGAACAGCACTTTTGATCAGTTTTGTGCTCATGTTTCATGCTTAAAAGATGGCAAAACTAAAATAAGCACAGGACTGAAGCATGACCAAGAATTCTTGGATAAGTCTCTTGTGCCTGAAGTGGATATGGTTACATCACTCATGCTCGGTGAGCTCAATGAAAGGTGTACTGAAATTAGTCAAACAGTTGATGCAGAAAAATCTGTTGACAAATCTATGACTAGTCACGTAGAAGATTCACTTAAAAGTGGCAAAGATATTGATTCTATTTTGGTCATTGAATCTATTAGGCAGGATGAGTTTGGCCTAGATCCTAGTCTTTCTGAAACTGACAGTTGTATGTTGAAGAAGCAGCATGCTAGGTTAGGGAGAGCATTGCATTGTCTTTCACAAGAGCTTTATTCTCAAGATTCACATTTTATCCTTGAATTGGTGAGGATATCCTTTCAACTTCATTTCTTGTACTTAGGAATAGAGGAGTAATGGGGAATGCTTTTTTTATTCTGTCATACCTTTTCTTTATTATTGTTTGTAAAACTCGTACTGATCCACATCTTAGTAACTGTTTGAAATAGAGTATAAGTTCCGCTTTCCAAGTACAATTAGAATTCAATATATCGTAGGGTTCATTGCATTCTTAGATTCAGTGTACCTTAGAAGTTAAAGCTTATTAAGATGTGGTTGGGCCTAATTCAACCCTACAAAACCGGCTTGTAGGGTGAGGATTGCCCCCACTTATAAACACATGTTCAGGCCATATATTGTCCGATGTGGGACTCTTAACACACCCCCTCACGCCCAGGACTAGACAACTGGAGCGTGGAAATAAATGGTGGATGGCCCACTGGATCTTAAATGAGGCTCTGATACCATAATGAGATGTGGTTGGGCCTAATTCAACCCTACAAAACCGGCTTGTAGGGTGAGGATTGCCCCCACTTATAAACACATGTTCAGGCCATATATTGTCCGATGTGGGACTCTTAACAAAGCTAGTTTAATTTCTTTTCTCGCAACTGTACATATCCTGTATGTAAAAGCCACTTTCGCTCGAGTGAATTGACTAAGAAGTTATGTTTTGGGGGTAAGGGATTCAATATTAGGCAGCAGTGATGATGTTTTGAAAATGTTCATCATATCTTATTGATTTTTTTTTTTTGTTTTTGGAATGTTGTTGACATCATTTTACTAGTTTTTTGGGGTTGGTCTCTCTAGGCCAGAAAATGATAAACTGAATAAGGTTATTTTATAAGAGTTCTGTTTAAATACTTGGCATTACTTTTTACTGTTTATGAAGGAATGGCTTTAAAGAACTATTTTAGTTAAAGATGCATTCTCCATATTGGACATTTTGTACGTTTTTGGTACTTTGTAAGGATGGGTGTGCTTTGAGAGCTATTGTTCTGCGCTTGTATCTTATATTTTCTTCATTTGATTCAGGTTCAAAATGCAGATGATAATAATTATTCCGAAAGTGTGGAGCCAACTCTTGCTTTCATTCTTCAAAATTCTGGTATTGCTGTATTGAATAATGAGCGAGGATTCTCTGCTCAAAATATGAGAGCACTTTGTGATGTTGGAAATTCAACCAAGAAGGGGTCCAATACTGGATACATAGGGAAGAAAGGCATTGGCTTCAAGTCTGTTTTCCGTGTATGTCTAAGCAACATTTTAATTCATTTTCTCTTTATTATAACTCTTAAACTTTGGGTTGGGTCTAACACAACCTTACAAAACTAGCTTTTAAGACGAGGATTGCCCTCACTTATAAATAAATTTTCAGACCATATTTCATTAGATGTGAGACTCTTAACACATTCCCTCACGCCCAACACTATTGGGCTTGGTATGAAAATGAATCAGATATAGGGCCATAGTATTTTTCTACAACTTTTTGATTTGAACACTTTGTCCAAATAATTTCTTGGCCACGAACGTATAATTAAGGTTATGTTTTTACTGTTACAATCAAGTGTGTTAAGTCATTACTACACAAAAACACATGTAATACATATATCATCAGTCTGTTGATCACCCAACGATGATGTGTTTCAGTTTCATTTGTAAGAAAGTGATATATTTACAAACAAGTTTAAATTCATACATTATCATTATAAAAACTTGCAACCTTTCCTTACGGTTTTCTATTTGTACTTTTCCTTTATTAATATATTCTTCAGATAATGAGTTTTATTAACTTCGGTTGTTTTCACTGCAGGTCACAGATGCTCCTGAGATTCATTCCAATGGTTTTCACGTTAAATTTGACATTAGTGAAGGCCAGATTGGTTTTGTTTTGCCCACATTAGTTCCTCCGTGTAATATTGAGGTGCTCGGGAAGATGGCATTTACTGGCACTGATTCATATGGTGATAATCCCTGGAATACATGCATTCTACTTCCATTCAGATCTCATCTATCAGAAGGAACTGTCATAAATAGTATTATGACTATGTTTTCAGATCTTCATCCTTCATTGTTACTATTCCTTCACCGGCTTAAGTGTATCAAGTTGAGAAATTTGCTTAATGATACACTTATTGTTATGAAAAAAGAAATTTCAGAAGATGGTATCATCAAGGTTTCTCACGGGAAAGAGAAAATGGCATGGTTTGTAGTATCTCAAAAGTTGCAGACAAATTCCATCCGCTTTGACGTGCAAACAACTGAAATATCTATGGCGTTTACACTGCAGGAATTGGATGATGGTTACAGTCCCTGCTTAAACCAGCAGCCAGTTTTTGCTTTCCTTCCTTTAAGAACATATGGCCTGAAATTTATTCTTCAAGGTGATTTTGTTCTTCCCTCATCCAGAGAGGAAGTTGATGGAGATAGCCCATGGAACCAATGGTTGTTGTCAGAGTATCCTAATTTGTTTGTCAGAGCAGTGAGAGAGTTTTGCGAGCTTCCCTGTTTTAAGAGTGAGCCTGGAAAGGGATTGTCTGCTTTCATGAGCTTCATTCCTTTAGTTGGGGAAGTGCATGGTTTTTTCTCCACTCTCCCTCGTTTGATTATTTCAAAATTACGCATGATGAATTGCTTACTTGTGGAGGGTGACATCAATGGATGGGCCCCTCCATGCAAGGTATTGAGAGGTTGGACTGAACAGGTCCGCTGTCTTCTTCCTGATAATGTACTTTTTGAACACCTAGGGCTCAGATACTTGGATAGAAATGTACTATTGTCTGATGCATTAGCAAGAGCACTTGGCGTTGAAGAGTTTGGGCCTTTAGTACTTGTTAGAGTAATGTCATCTTTGTGTTACGCAAAGAATGGGCTGATATCAATGAATATGAGTTGGTTGGCGTCTTGTCTAAATACACTCTATGTGTTGATGTTTGATTCATCTGGCACAATGTCAATCAATTTTGAAGTAAAAGATGATATTCTAAAACGCCTTAAAAAAACACCGTTCATTCCACTTTCAGATGGTGCATATGGTTCCGTGGATGAAGGAACTATATGGTTGCAGTCCAATACTTTTAACACAGGATTTGATGGCGAGCATAAAATGGAAGCTTTCCCTAATATATGTGCTAGACTACGGACTGTAAGTCCTTCCCTTCTTTCCGCAGCTTCTGGTACTTCAAGCTTGAATGTCACTCCTTTGGATAATGTTACTCGGTTACTCGAGACTATTGGTGTTCAACAATTGTCTGCACATGATGTTGTGAAGTTGCATATTTTACCTGTGTTATCTGATGAAACAATGGCAAGCAAGAACAAAATGTTGATGATTGAATATATATGTTTTGTAATGCTGCACCTGAAATCTACTTGTTCTGATTGTTTCATTGAAAGGGAGCATATCATCTCAGAATTGCAAAGTAACTCTTTATTATTGACAGATTGTGGTTTTAAATGTCCTGCTAAGGTGCCAATTCATTTCTGTACTGGATTTGGGAATCCTGTCACTGCAAAAAAGTTGGCTGATGCTGTGAATATGAGGTGGTATGAAGTTGACATCAGCTATCTAAAGCACCCAGTAAATGAGTCGGTTTCATCTTCACTAGTCAAGTGGAGGGAATTTTTTGAGGAAATTGGGATCACTGATTTTGCTCAAATAGTTCAGGTGGAGAAGAGTGTTGTTAACATATGTGATGCCACTTTTAAGCAGGAGATGTGGGACATGGGTCTAATATCTGCTGAATCAATGGTCAAAGATTGGGAGTCCCCAGAAATAGTGCAATTAGTATCATTATTGTCTAACAGTGGCGATCGAGAAAATTGTAAGTACCTCTTGGAGGTTCTTGATACATTATGGGATGCTTGCTATGGTGATAAAGCTAGAAGTTATTTTGTCTCTAAATCTGTTGGAGATGGCCACCCCTTTAAGTCTACTTTTATATCTAACTTATGTGATATTCGATGGGTGGTATCAACCATGGATGATGAGCTACACTATCCTAAAGATTTATTTTATGATTGTGAAGCAGTCCGGCTGATCCTTGGAGCTTTTGCGCCATATGCTGTTCCAAAGGTTAGCTTTACTGTACTTTTGTGTGATGCAGTGCACACTTATACATTTAATGATTTTTCTTCTTAGTTTTTGTAATTAATTGCAAACTGGGATGCAGAGACTAATTATCAACATAGTTATGCTTGCATGGGTCTTGGCTGTTGTCTGTAGTTCATTCTAGGATTTTATTTCCTGCTTTTTGTTTCTGATTATGTATCTCTCATATGCTTTGGTTACTTGTCCTGCTATATTTAGGACTGATGCTTTGGTTACTTGTCCTGCTATATTTAGGCCTGGTATAGTAATATAAGGCACAATGTTTCTCTTAAGGATTTCAGCTTATTGCTGAATTTGATTGATATTTTGATATTTTGAGAAAAAAATATTATTTATTGGTATCTCCTTGTAATTCTTGTTTGTACTTGCATATGGATTTTTCATTAGGCTGTCAAAAAAGGAAATAATGGCAGTGGGTCTTAATACTATTTTGTTTGCTGTATTTATTCAGGTGAAAAGTGAAAGATTGGTGAACGAGATTGGGTTAAAGACTAGAGTTACTCTTGGTGACATTTTGAATATTTTTGAAGCCTGGAGAAAATCATCGAAGACTTCATTCAAAGCCAGGTGTGTACATTTAAGACTTTTATTTCCAAACAAAATGGCTTTGATTGTGTTAAAGTAACCAAACTTTTCATCTAGAAAACACCAATATGACAGGGAAAATGGATACGATACAACTAACTTTAAAATTGCAGAATGTTTAGGTACAACATATAAGATTAATACTGCACCAAGTTACAACAGAGAATCAGTGTTTACAAATATCACCAACAGGCATTTTAAATACAAAAAGCTATGGTTTGTGTAATTTTTATGGGTTTCATTTGCATCGGTTGAAAAATTAAAAACAAAATTTTGTGCAATGTAATATACATTGAGGAGTTTTGGACTGTGTTCAAAGATTGTTTATCATCACTATATGTCCTTTTTCTGTTCTCTAACTAGCCAATGATCAATGCTTAAGATGTTAGATGGAGGCTATTAGTGGGTTTATATCTATAACATGCCCCTTCATGCAAGAGTTCTTTTGAACTTAGTTTAGAGCATTTGCAATGCATAGGCCCAAAATCTACTTTTACCTTAAAAACGAGTTCTTAAGGGTTGGACTACCAATTGCTTCTTTGCTGCTTAGATCTCGTAAAAGCTTAAGCTGCTAAATATAGTTGCATTTCATGAATGGTATTCTTACAAAACCCCCCAGATGTAGCAAAGTCACAACAGTCAGTGCCATGAAAATGTCTCAGCTATTTCCTTTTGGTGTGTGTATCATATGTTTTTGGCTGCATGGATTGCTGGTCAAACTGATGTTAAAAGTAGATATCAGGAAAAAACTATATTTAATGTGTTGAATAATGAGAGAATAAGAGGAAGATTGGATTGAATCCGTGTGTGTGAATTACACATCGGAGCTCATTATATATAATAGGAGGCATAAATGCCATAGTAATTACATAATATTCTATAATAATTACATAATATTCTATTTCCTATTTACATGATATCCTAATTACTTACAGAATATTCTATTTACATAATATGGAATATTCCGATATCTAACACTCCCCCTCAAGCTGGAGCATATATGTCATATGCACCAAGCTTATTACAAATGTAACTAATTCGAGGACCTCTCAAAGGCTTAGTGAAAACATCAGCTAACTGATCATTTGAATTGACAAAACTAGTGCTGACATCTCTAGATAAAATCTTCTCTCTGATGAAATGACAATCAATCTCAATGTGTTTGGTTCTCTCATGGAACACTGGATTTGATGCAATATACAGAGCTGCCTGATTGTCACAAATAAGTGTCATCTGTGAAACATCCCCGAATCTCAGGTCGTGAAGTAATTGTTTAAGCCATATAAGCTCACAGGTTGTTGTTGCCATGGCTCGATATTCTGCTTCTGCACTTGACCTTGCCATTACACTTTGTTTCTTACTCTTCCAGGAAATTAAGTTACCACCCAAGAAAACACAATAACCTGAGGTGGATCTCCTATCAGAAGGAGAACCTACCCAATCTGCATCTGAGTATCCTACAACCCGAGTGTGTCCCTTATCTTCATAGAATAAGCCTTTTCCTGGAGCTCCTTTAATATATTTCAAGATGCGAATCACAACTTTCCAATCCTCTTCACAAGGAGAGTTAAGAAATTGACTTACCACACTAATAACAGGAAATGAAATATCTGGGCGAGTAACAGTGAGGTAATTCAGTTTTTCAACTAATCTTCTATATTTTCCAAGATCGGAGAGTGGCTCCCCCTGAGCTGGCATAAGTTTAGCATTGGGATTCATCAGAGTGTCAACTGGCTTGGAATTTAACAGTCATGTCTCCTCCAAAATATCAATAGCATACTTCCTTTGTGAAATCACAATCCTCCGTTTGGATTGGACAATCTCTATGCCCAAGAAATAACGAAGTCTGCTGAGGTGTTTTGTCTGGAAATGATGACAAAGGTGTTGTTTTACCTGTGTGATTCCATGATGATCATTACCTGTAATGACAATGTCGTCCACATACACAATTAAGTAAATACACCCAACAACTGAGTAACGATAAAACACTGAATGATCAGCTTCACATCGCGTCATACCAAACTCTTGAATAACAGTGCTTAATCTCTCAAACCAAGCCCTAGGAGATTGCTTAGGTCCATACAAAGACTTATGAAGACGACAAACTAGTCCAGAAGACTCCCCCTGAGCAACAAACCCAGGAGGTTGCTCCATATAAATTTCCTCACCCAAATCACCATGGGGGAATGCGTTCTTGATGTCAAGCTGGTAAAGGGGCCAGTGGCGAATAGCTGCCATAGAGAGAAATAATCGAACCGAGGCCATTTTAGCCACAGGTGAGAAGGTGTCACCATAATCTAGGCCAAACAACTGTGTATAACTTTTGGCCACTAAACGTGTCTTGAGACGATCAACTTGTCCATCAAGCGCAACTTTGACTGTGAAAACCCACCTGCAACCTACAACAAATTTCCCAAGAGGAAGAGGAACAAGGGCCCACGTGCCACTGTTCTGAAGAGCGTACATCTCATTAAGCATAGCTTGTTTCCAGCCAGGGTGAGTTAAAGCATCACCCACAGTCTTGAGAATAGACACAAAAGACAAATAGGAAATACAAGCATAATGCAAAGAAGACAAGCGATGATAAGATAAATTAACATAATGAGGAGATGAATTACGAGTGGAACGTACACTTCTGCGAACTGCAATTTGGAGATCAGTCTCAGGGGGCAGGACCGGAGGGGACGAAGGAGTTGGATCCGGAGGGGAGTCTATGGTGATTTCTGCATTAGTTGATGGTAGTGGAGGTGGCCATGGTCGACGCTGATAAACCTGTAAAGGAGCTAATGGGTGTGGATTGGCTGGCAAAGGAGACAAAACTATGTTTGGTGGGACAATAGTGGGAGATGAAGAAAACATGGGTGATAGGGACTCAGACCCTGTAGACGTCACAAAGTAAGGGACTGACTCAAAGAATGTGACATCAGCAGAGACGAAATATCGACGAAGAGACGAGGAGTAACATTTGTATCCCTTTTGGGATCTTGTATAGCCTAAGAACACACACTTATGAGAACGAGCTGAGAGTTTGTCTAGCTCAGGACTAACATTATGGACAAAACATGTAGACCCAAAGACTCTAGGCTGTAATGGGTGAAGAGACTGGTGAGGAAATAGAATAGAGTGAGGGATCTGATTGTTGAGGACAGGACAGATGATGGCATCCTATTTATGAGATAACAAATTGTAAGGACAACAACACCCCAAAAATGTTGAGGAATGTTATTGTGAAGTAAGAGTGTCCTAGTGGTTTCAACTAGGTGTCTATTTTTACGTTCAGTGACTCCGTTTTGTTGTGGTGTGTGAGCACAAGACGTTTGATGAAGCATACCGTTAGTAGCCATGAAAGTTTGAAATTGAGTAGATAAATATTCTCGAGCATTGTCACTGTGCAAAGTACTAATGGATATACCAAACTGATTTTTGATTTCATTATAAAATGTTTGAAAAATAGCAAATAACTCCGATCGATTTTTCATTAAAAATAACCAGGTACACCGAGAATAATCATCAATGAAGGTAACAAAATACTTAGACCCTAAAGTGGAAACAATGCGACTAGGACCCCAAACATTCGAATAAACTAGAGCAAACGGAGACTTAGAACGACGATTGACACGACTCGGAAAAGAACTACGAACATGTTTTCCTAATTGACAAGACTCACAAGACAACGTAGATAACTTGGAAAGGTTGGGCACCAACTTTTGTAACTTTGCAAGACTTGGATGTCCTAACTGAGCATGAACCAGAAGGGGAGAATCTACCACGGAACCAACATGTGCAGATGGTTGAAGAAGATAAAGACCATTAGACTCGCATCCGGTGCCAATCATCCGTCTCGAACTCCGGTCCTGCAAGAAAAAAGAATCTTTGGTGAATGAGATAGTACAATCAAGAGATCGAGTCAAACAACTTAGAGACAATAAGTTAAACGGAGATCCGAGTACATAAAGAACATTAGTAATGGAGAGCGAGCGAAAAAGGTGGATAGTACCAGTACCCTGAGATTGAGTTTGAGAGCCATTTGCTAATGTGATAAAGGGTAATAAACCACAAGTAGAGAATGAAGCAAAAAAAAATTTATTACTAGTAATGTGATCAGTGGCGTCTGAATCAAGGATCCATGGGCCAAGAGATGTGGAGTGAGAAAGACCAGCAAAAGAATTACACGTGTGCGCAACAGAGACAGTGGAACTAGCGGCCTGACGCTCCTCATACCACTTGATAAAGTCGTTGAAGATAGCAGGTGAGGTGGCAGAATCAGTCGGAGTAGCAGCCCGTGGAGGTGGAGCGGTCTGGGCAACGTGGGCAGTCCGAGGAGAGGGATGTCCATGTAAAGCATAACACCGATCAATAGTGTGGCCAAGCTTATGACAATGATCACACTTAGGACGAGGCTTTCCTGTCTTCTGAAAGTGGTCACGATCACCACCCGGAGCACGATTACCTCCTTGAGAAACCAAAGCAGATGAGTCGACTGGTGTGGGTGGGACTCCGCCGTCAGATGATGGTTTTGCTGGGACACGCAGCAAAGTAGGCCATGCAGTATCCAGAGTGGGGATTGTAGGAGACTCCAATATCTGATCGAGAACAGACGAATACTCTGGAGGTAGGCCATACAGAGCTAGAAGCATGAACACGGCCCAAGTATTCAGCCATCGAACCATCCAGGTGACGGGGGGAAATAATATTCTGCAAATTTTGACACACTCCATATAAGCATTGTGTATCATTGGTATAAAGGATCTTAGCCTGTGCCCAAACAGATTCACAAGTCTCATGAGAACGAAAGATTTGTTTCAAGGATGGACTAATGGTCGACTTAATGAGACTGCAAAGTTGAGCATCAATTTTCTTCCAACGAGCACTATCAGTGGCAGCCACTGAGTCAGCCTTCGTAGTGAGGTGATCTTCATAGGCCTGTCCCCGGAGCCATAACTTGACGTCGGAAGCCCAAAAATCATAGTTAGTACCGTCCAATTTGTCAACGGCAAGAGGAGTAGTGATATAACTTGTGAAAAAAGGGGCCTCAGCCCTTGGAGGGGGAACGGCGGCCATGGATTCCGAAAACGGTGAGAGAAGTGACCAAAAAAAAAAAGGAAGATCTGAGAAGGAATATAAGAAACCAGAGATGAAGCACGGTTATCGGAAAAAAATTGGCGCCGATAGATAGTGGATCTAACGGGAAAGCACGGATTAGGGTTGTCTCTTGTTAGACTCTAGATACCATGTTGAATAATGAGAGAACAAGAGGAAGGTTGGATTGAATCCGTGTGTTGAATTACACATCGGAGCTCATTATATATAATAGGAGGTATAAATGTCATAGTAATTACATAATATTCTATAATAATTACATAATATTCCATTTCCTATTTACATGATATCCTAATTACTTACAGAATATTCTATTTACATAATATGGAATATTCCGATATCTAACAGTATGCATCTATACTATCCAAAGAAACGTATAAACTGAAACCTGACACCAAAATTTCAAAAAAAGTTGTCTTCAATTTGTACCACTTTTGGTCTTCCTTACTTGGCCATATATATCACCTAGGAGCATCTTTACTGTGTCCTGAAGAATAGGATAGTATTTGTCCGCTGTCTTTCCCATAATTTATTTTTTTCACATCCTTGTATTTATTTTGTATCCTATCCGTGCCTGTATGGTGTATATCTTCTAGCTACAATGAGGTTTTGAAATGTTGTGATTATGTTAAAATTTCTATAAGGAATGCTTGTGCTAACAGAAGGTTGAGACTAGGGAAGTAAAATATGAGTTGCTAAAAAAGTGCATACATTTGTGTGTTTGAATTGGCTACCCACTGATATTCTGTGCTTACTTTTTCTTTCTCCTTTCAAAATTATGCAAATTCACTGACCAATAAGTTTTCATTTTTCGTAGCATAAGCCAAATGTCTAAATTTTACACATTCATTTGGAAGGAAACGGAAGCTCCAAAGCAGAAAACCCTGCAAGATTTGATGGCTGGGCCTTTTATTTTTGTCCCTAACTCTGCTGTTCATAGTCATGATGATGATGTTTTCGGGACGTTGGTGCATCCCAATGAAGTCTATTGGCATGATCCAATTGGTTCTGTTCAGAAGATGGAGGAGTTTGATACCCAAAGCAGCTCATCCTACTCACCAATTAACAAGTCACTGCGCAATATTTATCCTGACCTTCGTGGTTTCTTTGTTGACGAGTGTGGGGTCCAAGAGGCACCTCCTCTACACAGCTATATTCAAATTTTGCTGCAGTTATCAGCCGTCACTTTGCCTTCACAAGCAGCAGATAAAGTAAGTGTATGATGAGCAATAAATTATGACTTGATTTGTTTTACCTGAAACATTCTTCTTACCTCGCTTTTTTCTCTTTCCAGATTTTCCAAGTTTTCCTCGTGTGGGCAAAGGGACTAGAATCTGGTTTGTTAAATGTTGAGGATGTCATGTATCTGAAAGACTGTCTTTCAAAATTAGAATTTCCCGTGCTTCCCACTGTGCAAGATAAGTGGGTTTCGCTACATCCTTCCTTTGGTCTTATCTGCTGGTGTGATGATAAGGAGTTGAAAGAAGATTTTAAGCATTCAGATAACCTTGACTTTCTTTATTTCGGTGAAGTAACCGAGGACAATAAAGAAACTGCGCTTAAAAAAATTTCTTTCCTTATGAAAAATTTAGGTATTCCAGCTATCTCAGAGGTATGGTCACTCTTTCTCATGCATTTCTTTATCTCGGTCATACCATTCATTGTAGTCTTGGCACTTCTCAAATTATGGTGTTACACTAACAGTAACACATACATGCAAGCACGAGCACATGTGTTTTTTTTTTTTTTTTTGCATTTTACTTTTGTTTCTACTTACACTTTCAGTATGAAAATGGGAATCAACTTGGAGTGACATGGGTATACAGTATATGTTCTCTAAAAAATGCCCAACATTGAAATAGGTGGTTAATATAAATTTACAACCACTTACAAGCATCCTCCTCAATTGCTCTAGCTTTTGTTGTTATTTTGAAATGAAAATAATGCCTTTTTGTTGGCCAAGTTGCTAAGTAATTCATTGGTAATAAATACTTTATTTCATTATAGTCCACAATGATGTTACGTGAGTACTAGTAGCATGATTTAATGCAATTCACATTTATGCATTATCTGAGATTTTTAAGATTTATTTGTTTGTTTTTTATAACATATTAAACAATAGTACTTGGTGCTTTTTTGCTTTCCCTTTGAACTAATTAGGTGTCTTTTCTAGCACAGTCTCCTATTCGTCACTTCGCCCCCTCCCCTTCTCTCAAACTTTTCCAAACTGATTAGAGCTTTTAATATACTTTAAGACATGCCTCAGTAAATAAGTAATTTGTGTTCTCTGAGGTTCTTGTGAAGAGGAGGACTATTTGCATCTGGTCTTGATTATAATGCATACTTTTTTTTTGGTAAAATAATCTAAAGCAAATGCACTATTAATTATTTTTATCGCCACACCTATTTATAAAACTACCAAGGCATTTCAGTAAAAATAACAGAAAAGTATTGAAGTTGTTAGATTTTAGATGAAAAGAGAAGAGAAATAATAAGAAATATAATTATATTGAGATATGCTTGATGTTGACTTGATACAAAAGACTAATCACTAATTCCTATTTAGTCTTCAATTTAATGCACAAAACAATAAATGATACTGATAGAATGAGAAACTTGTTATTCAGTGATTTTTCGCAAAATGCACGGGTATAAAGTTGTTTATGTGAGAAAGAGAAACTTGGTATTCATATAATTTTGGATGTTACTTCAGTGCTTTATGACAATATGCAGGTGGTAACTCGTGAGGCAATATATTATGGTCTATCTGATTGTAGATTTAAAGAATCATTGATCAATATTACTCTTCCATATGCTCAGCGCTACATTTACAAATCTCATAAAGATAAATATATTCAACTTAAGCAGTCTGGTTTTGGTATTTTGAACGATCTTAAAGTCATCGTTGTTGAGAAGCTGTTCTACCGAAATGTTATAAAGGGCTGTGACAGTGTTTCAAACAAGCGGGTTGAATGTAGTTGTCTTCTCCAGGTATGTCGATTTTTGAATTTTTCATCAAAAAGCCACATTCATTAACTTAATTAATATCCATGGCATAAACTGAAAAGCAACCTTGACATAAGTGTAAACTTGGATTCAAGTCACATCTAGAAAATTGAAAACTCTTGGATTCAAATCAAATATAGAAAATTGAAAACTACGGGCTACTTTTAGCTAGAAATACCATTTAGTTGTTCACCTTGACGACATATTTCAATTGTAGGCTTGAATTGAGCTTATGGTCAAATGAAAACTTGAATGTGAAACATATTTTTGTCTAACTGTCAACTATTTCTTATTCTCAATTTGAAATTTCAGAATTTGACTAAGATCTGTTTTTGGGTTTTTTGTTCGGTGGTACTTCCTATATACAATTTGATTCTCATTTTTTGCATGTATCAACCCATTGTTGTGTCTGAAACAGAGAGTTTATAATCTTTTAGCGGCCTATTGCAAAGCATAACTTTTTCATCCATGAATTTTTCTCTCAAGAGGGAATATCTATATCATAAGTTTGTTTATGTCTTTATTACAGGGAAACATTTTGTACACCATTCAAGAAGCAGACCATCTTTCCTTGTTTATGGAGCTTTCCAATTTATTGCTTGATGGGATTGATGGGGATTATAAAATTCACATGGCAAATTTCCTTCATACAATAACAAACAGTTCAGAATCTGAGTCCCGTGAGAAAATGTTGAATAGCCAAAAGGTGCCTAAGCTTCCTGATGAAGAACCTGTTTGGGCACTATCTACCGTGTCTTCAATGTTAGAGGATGAAATATCACTCTCTTCAGATAATGTTTCACCATCGAATGAACAACAGACATTGCCGTTGCCTAAAAGGAAGAGCGGAATATCCTCAAAATGGCCACCTGCTGATTGGAAAAATGCACCAGATTTCAATTATGCCCGTGCCAATGGATTCAAGACCCAACCTGCCCTGATTAGTAGTGTTTCTGAAGTGAAAAATGATTATAATTTTGAAGGTGTTAGTGCTCCAACTGTTTGTTATGAACATGGATCAGTTTCTGTTGACCGGAATGTCATAGATGATCTACAAACAAATTCAGCGTCCTTAGCATTGCATGAAACTGAAAACTATAAAAATCAATCCTACCATGGTTTTGAGCCGACTAGTTTTCACCATATCGAATTTGATCCTGCTAGTTTGGGTGATGATATGGATGAATCCCGAGTTAAAGCTCACTTGGGTTCCCCAGCTTTTAGCATGAGAGACCGGCTTCAAACTGGTACATATGACGCAGGCCAAGCAAATGCAACCGGAAGATTAGGCGAGTTACTTGCATACAAATACTTCACTGGTAAAGACGGCAACACTACTGTAAGTTGGGTTAATGAAGTTAATGAAACAGGACTTCCGTTTGATTTAATCATTGGAGGAGGTGCCAATAAAGAGTATATCGAAGTTAAAGCAACTAGGTCTCCAAGAAAAGACTGGTTCCACATCTCAACGAGAGAATGGCAGTTTGCAGTTGAGAAAGGAGAATCTTTTAGCATTGCATTTGTTGCAATAACAGGAAATAACAATGCACAGGTTGCTGTATTCAAAGATCCAGTAAGGTTGTGTCAGCAAGGTGGACTGCAACTGGTTGTTATGATGTCGAAACAACAGAGACAGTTACCTGTTGTCCCATAGCTTCCGTTCTTGTGGATGGGCTTGATAATCCCTCAAATGTGTTACTACTTTTGAATCAACCTTTTGCACCCAGTATGTGTTGGCAATTTATAATGGCCAAGAAGATTAATGGACTGGATATCACTTAATGCAAGATTCAAGATTTGTTGATCACACGAGTTGTGTTTCCAATATTTTGGTGTTGTATGTGGTATATTTTTGCTTGAACCAATCATCTAAAAGTAAACCTAGCCCCATGGAGAAGGATGGCTGGGCAAATATTGTGGGAATAACAAGGAATACTTGTTATACTGGTCTCCAATATTTTGGTAGTGGTTCTTGTCTGTCAGTGTTACTTATTGGATATTTTTGTGGATGCCACCATGATAAGCTCCATTTTTCTAGATGAAGCTCAAGGTCAATGCCTCAATTTTGCAACACAAATCTAGCATGTAACTTGATAAAATTCCAATTTGATACAGCAAACACAAGGAAAGATGCTAAAACTGCATGCTTTCCATGTACAAATGTAATATTCATTGTCATTGACATTTTGGTATTTATTTTATATAAAGTTATTTCTTTTTAGCACCGTAAATTTATTGACGGCCTTTGTTACTGTTGAGAACTGAATACTATTGATATTTGGAATGTACAAGCACTAATATTTTTAGAGTATTCTAACATAATGATCCTACCTAAATGTTCAAACATGAATTATTACTAATGATAGTAAAAATAAGAGCAGGAGAATAAATTATCTTCCTTTTAAATTGGCGAAAATCTATCATTCCTAAGAGAAATTATTAAAAAAAGATTTTGAAATTCACAATTAGGATAGAGAAAATAATCTTGGATAAAATAGATTTTGAAATTCACAATTAGGATAGAGAAATAATCTTGGATAAAATAGATTTTGAAATTCACATAGAGAAATAATCTTGGATAAAATAGATTTTGAAATTCACAATTAGGATAGAGAAATAATCTTGGATAAAATATTTATGCGAAAAATTAATTCATGGAATTGATTCTACTTAAGCCAATCACATAATTAATTATCAAGTAAAAATGAAAGATTTTCAAAATATTTGTTACCAGTAGATTATAATCCCTAGTCGATTATATAATGTAAATTGTTCTCACAAATAACTTTTAGAGTTAGTAGCCAACTAGTTAGGCACACAAATATTTTATGGTGATTTTCATAAAATAAGATAGGCTTTCTGATCAATCGAAAGTGCGTTGTGATTTACCTTAATAAATTTGAGAGTTAGTAGTATACTTTTAGAGATAGCGATCACTCGACTCATACACGACGAGTTTTCACACTTTTCTCTCTTTCATATCTCTTAAGTTTTTGGTTCTTCGCTACATTATCTTTGACTCTGATACTTCATTGGAACCTTGAATCTACTTTTGATGATGTTTGAGATAACTCTTCATGATATGTACCATCATCAGGCACAATGCTTAATCAAAGATTTTCACTAACTCCACTAAATTTTGCTTGACATAAGGTGTTACATGTAACACTCCAAATTTTTATTAATTTAAATTAAATTTAAAAAGATTTTTGTTCTGGACTGGGCCTGCACTCAGCCCAAATATCACACAAGGCCCAAACCAACTATGTTGTAGGGGAAGCACAACAAGAATGAACTTGCCCTTAACATATGTCGGGCAGGAATTCATCCCCTCACATCGATGACCTATCCTTCAACGTATCCTCTGAGGACATCCTCGCCACATGACTGTCGAGGAGGATCAGCGACGCCCAGAAAGTCATCACGATACACCCTCCTCGTAGGGCACGCACCCAATGTCTCTGAATATCACAGACTCGTCTTGACCCCGAAAAGACCGCGTCCACTGTAACACTCCGATTTAATTAAAATTGTTTTTAATTAAATAATTAGATGGTGCGGTGTATTTATATGAATTGGTAGATTTTATGATGTGACGTGATGCATTTATTAGTAATTAGATGTCTTAGAAATTATATAAGTTGAGGTGATAGAGGTGTATGGCTAAAAGTGTAGAAATATAAGGTTGATATTGATAATTGGCATTTTTGGGTTAAATATGAGGTTTACTATTATTTTATAATAATTAAAATAGAATTATTAGTAGAATAATATGATTGGTATTATTTTATTAAATGATTATTTAATTGGGAAGACTAAGGTTATTGTGGGAATATAATAGAATGGGAATAGAGAATTATATTTAGATCGTAGAAGCAGAGAAGAAGCGTAGAAGTGAGAACAAGAGAAAGTATAGGCATAAGTTGGAATCATGAGTTGTGGAGAATGAGATCCTAATGTGAGATTAAAGGAAAGAGTAAGGATTTATTGATGTGGTCAAAGTCTTCTAATTGGATAAAGACTCCTTTTGGAATGAAACGATTTGGATTATACTTGGTGTGGAAACTTTTCGGTATTGGAATACACTTAACAATTGGGATGTGTTGCGTGCATGTAAAGGAGACTATGAAATAGATTTTTGGCGTTTATGTATCATTGACGAGGTTGAAATGAAGGAAATTAAGAAAAATGTTTGTAAGGCTTGAAGATATTGTTAAACATTATGCTCAGGTAACTTTGTGCACAAGGTGAAGGACGCTATTATAGTTGGGTAATGATGATTTATGCCACCATTATGGTTTTCGACTACCTATTGACAAATTAAAGAACTGATCACCCTTAATCTCTTTTGATAGTAGAGGGGATCGTATTGGATGGGATATACTTGTCTTGCCTACTTGATAGTGAGTGAACTGAATTGACGTATTAACGAGAAGTTAGTTATTCACCATTCTGTGTGAACCTAATGCAAAAGTGAACCATTATTTTCCGGTGTATGCTAAAGAGAGTCCGAAGATAGATGTGGAACTTGTAGCTCTGATGGTTGACGGAAATAAAAATGAGGACAATGGCTTTAAGGTAAATGATCAGAGTGGCGTAGCAGAAGCGTGAATGTGGTACACTTTCTTATACGTGTATGACTTATTAAGAGTCGAGGATTAAACGTTAGATGCCTGAAGGAATGATGCAAACCCACGAATATTCAAGAATGGAAGTGATAGGTGGAGGGTTTGTATGTTTCTCGTGTTGCCGATATGTCAATAAAATATATTGAATTGCGTGTTTGATTGGTGAGACGTATCATTTAGTACTAGTGTGTGTGTGTGTGTGTGTGTGTGTGTGTGTGTGTGTGTGTGTGTTTGTCACTGTTGTTGATATTATGGTTATGTTTATGTGCTTACGATGGTATTATCGTGTAACGAAGTGATAGATTATATATCCTAGGATGATGGGGCGAAAAGTGAGATAAACCGGTGCATTCATAACCCGATAGCAAGGAATTTTGTGGAATTATGGTGGTTGACTAGGTGAGGTGTTGGTTAGTAATACTTGAAATGATGCAAAACATGACATGGGAGTTGGAAGGAAGGACACGATAGTTGTAACTATAGTTGTTAGTATCAGGTAACTTTCGAGGACGGAAATATTCAAAGTCGGGGAGAGTTGTAACACCCCGATTTAATTAGAATTGTTTTTAATTAAATAATTAGATAATATGGTGTATTTATATGAGTTGGTGGATTTTATGACGTGATGTGATACATTTGTTAGTAATTAGATATCTTAGAAATTATATAAGTTGAGGTGATAGGGGTGTATGACTAAAAGTGTAGAAACATAAGAGTGAGAGTGATAATTGGCATTTTTGGATTAAATATGAGGTTTACTATTATTATAATAATTAAAATAGAATTATTAGTAGAATAATATTATTGTTATTATTTTATTAAATAATTATTTAATTGGGAATACTAATGTTAATATGGGAATATAATAGAATGGGAATAGAGAATTATATTTAGATCGTAGAAACAGAGAAGAAGCGTAGAAGTGTGAACATGAGAAAGAGCACTAGGAGGCTAGGACAAGAAGTTTTATCCGTAGGAAACAAGAACCGTGATAATATAAGGTAAGGGGGGATTATAACACTATAATGGGTTGCCTAATGATGAAGTATGATAGAGTTTAGGTCTCATGGTTGTATGTTTTGATTTCTCCCTAATTGGTGTTCTTAGGGTTTTCTTCCATTGTTGAGTTTTGATGTTTTTTTGGTATGATTGTTTGTGAAATTGATTGTTATAATCGATTGTTATAATCGATTGAATTGATGCCATTGATGTTATAGAATTCATAGAGTTGTTGTATGATTTGTGGGTATGAATTGAAGTAGTGATAAATCTGTTGTTGTTTGCAAATTGGAGTTTTGGAGATTGAAAAGAATGAATTTTCGTACAAAAAACATAGCAGGTTTTTGGTTCTGCAACATCGGTAACCGGTTACTGGCCTCTGGTAATCGGCTACCGTGTGAAATTTTGGAATAAAAACGCAGGATATAACAGGTGTAACCTGTTGCTGGCCATGTGGTAGCCGGTTACTACTGAAGCTACCAAGTTTTTAAAAACTTGAAAACTTCATAACTTTTGACTCGGGTGTCCGTTTGACGCGCCGCTCGAACCTATAGGAAGATAAAAATATTTTCTATCTAATAAAACTAATTTAAAAATATTATGAGATGATTTTCTGGATTCTTGTATTATTCCGGTATTTTGATGTAATGTGAATTTGTGAATATGATGATGGAATCGATGAGATTGGTATTGTGATTGAGTACGATGATGTTGCATGAATGTTTTAATTGTGTGACATGATATGCATGATAATGATGATGGTGGGCCTGTATTGGTGTGACATTGATAGGTAAGAATAATCAATGTGAAATTAAGTTGTTGTATGTCAGTGTAGCATGCATTCATGAAGCGATAGTCTGTATTGGCGAGCGATGGTCTGCACTGGCGTTATGATGTTGTTGCCCTAAGTTAGCATTATTATGATGAGGGTTTTTCCCTATTGGTACCACATGCATTGAGTCAGTGTCGGTCTCTTTGCATTACATTATGATCGATAATTTGATGGTTGAATATTGATGAAGTATGT